GGTTGCAGCACACTTGTAGGAAGATAAATAATCCTGCTGAGTGTAGGTGGGAAGATACTTCCAGTTGGAGGAGAGGAGGACAACGTTCACACAAGAACTCCGAGCCGGAACAGTCACATTCCTCACGGCAAGTGGCCTCCCTAAAGCTTTCGTCAATTTCCTTGCCTGCAGAAGTGTGTGCCTTGTTCAACAACACCTTCCATGAACTCTGCATCACTGCAGCTGACATGCACTGGCTTTCCCCTCACATTGTGTGCTTGCAGACTGCTTACATCCTGGCTGTCAACGCGCTCATCCTCTCGGACACCGGCGGCCCTTGCAGCCCCGATGATTGCACGGTGCGCCTCTGACACATTTTATTTTGTAATATGGACTGCTGTGATTATCAAGGAAAGCAGCAGTGCCTTCATCAGTACTCATGCTTGCCATGCCGCAGATTGTTTAGGCATCTACATCCTGTGTGCGCATGTCCATTTGGGATTCCTGCTGCAGTCTCAACGAAGACACCGCCAGGGGTTGTTGGGTGAATGGGGCTTTCTGCTGTGCAGGGGCCAGACAAAGGGAACCCAGAATGTGTCTACCCTGATGACTACGGCATCACCAATGTAGGCTACATGATGTGTGTGGTAAGCATTTCTCTTGACCTGTGCATTGTGCTGTGTTTGAAGATCGTGTCTCGAACATTGTGAGGCTTTACGAGCTCATCTTAGGCACGGTATCAGGCAGAAAGCAGGGAAGAGACGTACATTCCACAGGACTAGGATTATGTGAGTTTCAACCTGAACGAAGCTCCTAGCAGGGCAAGCGATGGGGGCAGTGAAGATCAGCCATGCCAAGATTTGCGCTGAATGGCATTTGAGATCAAACGTAACCGAAGGGCGGAGCCAGTAACACCGCCTTTGTACATTCTTCTGGTTGTCAGTTGCGGCGAGGGGACGACTGCCGCTTGTCGGGGAAGTCTGCTTGCTGCAATGCAGTGCGTAGGACTGAACTGCTCAGGGGTAGGATTTAGCGTTTTAGATTTTATGGTTTAGAGGCTTCAGGGTTTAAAGTTTCAAGGTTTAGGGTTTTGTTTTGTATCTTATAACCCTTAACCCTAAACTCTAAATTTAGACTGAAGTGCTGTGCTTTGCAGGAGCGGGTGCGCCAGAGCCTGGTGACGGCCACAGCCGCGAGCTCGTGCATCGCCTCGCTGCTGATGGGAGTGGGCGCCAATTTGCCGGTGGCTCTGGCTCCCGGCATGGGCCTCAACGCCTACTTCGCCTACAATGTTGTCGGCTACCGAGGCAGCGGCAATGTGCGAAGCACTGACACCCCTATATTTAGGGTTCAGGATCTCGGATTAAAAATGAAATATGAAAAATCAACATGCAATGTTGTCGGCTACCGAGGCAGCGGCAACGTGCGAAGCACTAACACCCCTATATTTAGGGTTCAGGGTCTAGGGAGAAAATGAAAAGTAAAAAGTCAGCATGCAATGTTGTCGGTTACTGAGGCAGCGGCAATGTGCGAAGCCCTGACACCCTATATCTATGGTTCAGGGTTTAGGGTTTAAGAAATAAATATGATATAAATTTTAATTTAAAGTATGATATAAAACTTAAAATACAATGTTGTCGGCTACCGAGGCAGCGACAATGTGCGAAACACTGACCTTTCTGTTGTCTTCCCCATAATACATACCATTGTGTTCCCATACATGTCCAGGAGTCAAGGATGGATTTGTCTGGAACCAAGCTACACACGCCTCTGCATTGTGTCAAGCAGCGCTTGCGTTTCTGTCAGATCCGACCTCAGAACATCCAAGGCCATCTAACCAAGAATGTGTCTTGCCTTCATATGTCAGCAGCAGAATCAATCCAATCAATGCAACAACTGACAGTAGCTGCAGAAATGACAAGTTCTGAGGTTCAGCAACAGATTGCATCAGGGAAGGAGCAGCGCTAAACTGACAAAGCATTTTTGTTTGGGTAATCTGCAGGTGAGCTACCAGACGGCGCTGGCGGCTGTGTTTGTGGAGGGTATAATCTTCGTGTTCCTGGCTGTCACAGGCCTCAGGCTGCGTCTGATCAGGCTGGTGCCCAAGTCCATCATGCTGGCGACATCAGCAGGTTCCCTTCTTTTCCCATCCACCCTCAAGACGCATCCCATGCAATCATTGCTTTAGCGACTCGTACTGCTCATTGGACAATGTTCCGGTGACGAAGAGTTCTCTCCGTCTCTTCTTCCTAAATATATAGGTGTCAAAACTAAAAATGGCTTGCTCTAGGATTGCTGCAGTAACCGGCAAAACCTGGAGTGCTCGGCAAACATGTTGGGGATGCTGTCTTCTTCCTTACGCGTCTGCTGTCGTGCTTTTGTGGTCTACAATCTCGGGAAATGTCTCACAAGCCTCGGCATGCCATGCAGGGATTGGGCTGTTCTTGGCGTTCATAGGGCTGCAGAGCACACAAGGTCTGGGGATCATCTCCTATGATCCCGCCACCCTGGTCAGCTTGGGCGGCTGCCCAGCTGTCAAGCATGTGCGCCCCCCACACTCCCACATGCAAAGCAGTGTCTCTTTGTCTGGACAAAGATATGTCCCTCGAAAGCTCATTTTGCAATCCAGAAGTTTTTGCGTCCAGACAACCTCACTGTTGGGCCTTATGCCACTTCAGCGACTTTGACTCTCCCAGAATGCATGGAAACACCTGTGCCAAGGAGTGTAGCTCATGAACATAAAAGGGTCGCTGCCTCCTATTTGATGCTCAAAATTTCAACCATGACATGGTTGCATGCTCTGGCCGTTACAGGAGTACGCGTATGTGATAGATGACCCAGCATCAGTGTGCACTGTCGCGAATGGTGTCCCGGTGCTTAATCTGCCTTCGCCATATTTGATGCTCAGATTCCAACCATGACAAGGTTGCATGCTCTGGCATTCACAGGAGTACGCGTATGTGATAGATGACCCCGCATCGGTGTGCACCGTCTCAAATGGTGTCGCTGTGCTCAATCTGCCGCCGCCATCCTCAAACTATGCCTGCGACGGGAGCAAGATGGAGAGCGGCAGCATGTGGCTCGGCATCGCTGGGCTCATGCTCATCGGCATCCTCATGTCTCGCAGCTTCAAGGGCTCCATCATCATCGGTGCGGCATCCCCTATATTGAGGGAATTTAGGGTTGGGCTTCATTCGTTAACGCAGGGTTCAGGGTTTAGGGTTCCCCAACACCAGTCTCCAAACACCTTGACTTGGGTTGCGCAAATGTATCCCCTTCCCCTTCTACATGTGCACCAATGCCTTACCGATCAAGTTTCAGACTGCTGGTTGATTTCAACGTGGGCTTGCAATTCCTTGTAACCACGCCTTGAATGTGCTGCTGAAACGCACAAAGCTTATTGTACTCTGTGGAGTTCACATACAGCATTTCTCTTTTTAAAATTGGCTTTTGTTTGGAGCAAAGCGTACTGCACTTCAGTGCAGGCCTCAGAAAAATTCGTATACGTTGTGAGGATGCTGATGGTGTCCTGCGTCTGTTGCTTGCCAGGTATCGCCTTTGTGACTGTGATCGCATGGATACCAGGTCATGCAGCTTCCTACCTCGGCAAGGCCTCTTCAATACCAGGTGAGGCTCTTCTTCACAAATCCCCTTGTGGGTGTCTTTTGTTCGACTAATTTGCTCCAGAGCAACAGGCCCGCACACGGCCCTGCTTTTTCTTCCCTGTGCCTGTGCCTTCTGCGGCATTCTGCCCTGTTGATCCATGCCTAGGGGAAGCAGCGCAGACTTCCTGATTGGACGGACTTGATTTGGGACCGCCAAGCAACTGCTAAGCAACTGCACGCTGTCTCACGCCGAAAATGGTCATATTGTGCATGGTCTGTCTTTTAGCATCCCTAGGATTACGAACCCTATATTTATTTAGGGTTTAGGACTTACGGTTATTTACATACAAACCTGAAATATGAACCCTGAATATAAATATGAAACATAAAATAAAATATAAGCATACAGCACAGCAAATGAGAGCCCGGCAACAGCAGACCCTGCGCAACACACTTGTGCGCACCAAGGCGACAAGCCCAGTTTCAAATCTTTGAGCACCTTTTTCAACCATCTGTTGAGTATGCTTTGGCGCTCGGCCAGGGGGCATGGAGCGGCTGGAGTACTTCAAGAGGGTGGTGGACCTGCCGACGCTCAAAGCAACCGGCGGCACAATATCCTTTTCCGGCTTCACATCCGGCGAAGTATGGATCGCGCTTGTGACCTTCCTGTATGTGGACTTCCTGGATACCACTGGCACCCTCTTCTCCATGGCCAACTTCATCAACAACTACGTCCCAGGTGAGGTCAACGTCCTGCATCCTGCTTTGCAAGGCCAACACTGATGATCACATCATGAGTCATAATCCCCTCCCATGGACTTTTGAATGTCACATACTGAATTGTGTCACCAATATATGAGGCAGTTGGTGCTGGATAGGGCATTGCTACTGCATGTGGTTGTAGGACCCTTTCCCCACAAGTGCTAACCACTCGCCCCATGCAGGATGTAATCAGATTGCCCTTGACATGCACTCACACATGGCATGTTTAATCGCTTGTACCGGCGCAGGTTTCGTGAACGAGAAGAAGGAGTTTCCGAGGCAGACACTGGCCTTCTGTGTGGATGGCGTGGGCAGTATTTTGGGCAGCCTCATGGGCACGTCACCGATCGCGGCCTTCATCGAATCAGCGTCCGGCATCCGCGAGGGCGGCCGCACCGGCCTCACCGCCATCTGTGTCGCCCTTTGGTTCTTCGTGGCGCTCTTCTTCACGCCCGTGCTATGTGAGCGCCTGCCCTACGTTTCTGCAATTGTTTGCCGATCATGTGGCAATGTTGGGTCTCTTTGTGGCTCTTTTTTAGAGCTCTTCTTCACGCCTGTGAGCACTCCTGCCTATGTGTTAACAGTTGTTGCTGGTCAGGAGCCATTGTTGGGCTCCTCTGTGTGAAGCCCCAAAAGGAGCACCAAAAGTTGTTGTGCGGCTTCCCGGGATCGAACCAGGGACCTTTAGATCTTCAGTCTAACGCTCTCCCAACTGAGCTAAAGCCGCAGGAGGAGATGCCACTCTTGCATTAATTGCGGGAATATTGCCATATTGCCATAGGAAACCCCAACAACATTTCGCTTTTGATCAATTGAATTTACACTGTTTGAAGGGAGTGATGCCCTGGAGTCTCCCCATCTACCCTTTTGTCTTGGAAAGTCGCCGCAATCTGTCACAATTAGGCTAGGGTGCAAGAGGCGTAAAAGTTTGGTGACCCAACCGATTCCTTGATCTTTTGTGGATCTAATTTCTTTCCTACCTCAAAGGTAGAGGGATCTATAGCTGTCTTCCCAAGCACGGGTGCTCTGACCAATGGTTGTGGCTCCTGCAGCAAACGTGCCGCCGTACGCAATCGGCCCAGCGCTCATCACAGTGGGCGCGCTGATGATGATGAATGTGGTGCGCATCCGCTGGGAGCAGTCTGCGGAGGCGTTGCCTGCCTTCATCACCATCATCCTCATGCCCCTCACCTACTCCATCGCCTACGGTGCGCACACCAAACTCTGCCACAGACGTGCATCGCTGTGCTTACAAAGCTGACCTGCCAAGTTGACCGGGTGGATCAACCTGGTGAAGAGTGAAGGAGGGGATCGCGAGTGTGCAGCAAACCCATGACATGAGCATATAGGGATTCAAACAGTCCCCGCTTCTGCATGTACCCCTGCAGCGGCGTCTGTTTTCTCTCCAGTCGGCTCAGATAAAATGCGTTGGCACTGCTGAAAATGTGAAGGGTCGACAGTTCCTCAGTGATTCATGGCTTTGTGGATGTTTTCTTGCTATTCCTTTTCCTAGCATTTTTCATGCTAGTCATGGCCAGCTGCAGCTTTGCTGATGCTGTAAATTCCTCTGCAATTCTGGCTTTGAAATCGCCTCATCTTACTTTCCCAATCTTTCTTCTCAGCACTTGCAACGGGGGTGACTGAGGTCAGGCTGTTGCAGGCATTATCGGAGGCTTGCTGGCGTACGTCGTCATCAATGGGCTGAACTGGATCATTGATAAGATCAGCGAGTTTGGCCACTGGACGATGACCGGCAATGACACGGAGGTGCCTGTCATGCTGGACCGCTCAGTCACCTCTCGCATGGCCTCCAACACCGGCACAGCAGGGCTGGTGCGAATACATGGCCCGCTCACCCTGCCTATACATTTTAATATTTGTTTTTAGGGGTTTAATGTGGGGTTTAGGGTCAAATTGGTGGAGAAAAGTGCAAACCCCCTAGTGTAGAAATAAAATTGAAGTACAGATGTAAACTCAAACTTTACCGTGCAGTTATAGTGGCATCTATTTGAGTCACACCTCCTGGATGCCTCATGCCAGCACCTCTGCTATGTGACTTTGGATCTAGCACGCCCCTTGAGACCCAGAAGATTAGCAGGATGATGGCATCATGGCCGAAGTTCGCTCTTTTCCATTCCTTGCTGGGATTCCTATTGTCTTTCGGCGCAGTCCAAGACACCATGCCCAAGCAATATGGTCGAGTAGGCACTTGTGAGCTGTCTGCCTGTGACAGAAGTGTGCTATTCCGTGACGATGTGGTCCATGCAACTTGGAGAAGCCGGAGCCCTGTGGCGTTGTGCTGAAGTATTCGGCCGCTGACTGTGTCTGCCTCTGTGTTTGGGAGCAGGGGGGGAGACCATCGGCAGGCAACGTGGTGCGCGCCATGGCTGCTGCAGCAAAAAGGGGCAGCAGTAAAGCGGCCGTCGCCACAGCCGACAACACCCCGGTTCGAGCTCCTTCCCCGCCATTTGCTTTTTTCTCTTATTTCAGGGGCCCCTGTCATGCATATTCCAATCCTACCTATAGAGTCTAGGGGGACTGCTTGTTATTCTGCTGACTTGGTGCCCATATTTGAGCACGGGTGTGCAGCATGGTGATGCCGCAGAACAACAGGCCAACAAGCCACCCATCAGCTGTTATCGAGAACCAAAGCTTCCCAGTGCATCTGTCAGTGATTGCAGGCAGGAAGGTTTGAGTAGCTGAAACCAGAGCTTGAAAGAGGAAACTCTGCGGTGTCACGAGTCCATCACTCAAGGCTCTTTGCACGCGGCACCGAGATATCATGCCCTGCCCCAGGAGCCAAATATGGAGGCGGGATCAAGGGTTGCGAGTGTTATAGTCAGTCAGTCAGTCGATTGCACCTTTTCCAGCCACCTAGGGCTGATCAGATGTCTGACTCTGATCGCCACAGTCACCACCCAGCATTATATCCAGAAGGACTCGTGTTATCTCTAGTCACAGACCCTGTCCTGCTGAGGCAGCCCTTCTCTTTTTGGCGCTCGCACAGCCTTGATTGTCCTTTATCTCTTGATCTTATCCAGGAGTACTTAATGTTCATGGCTCTGTGGGTGCGCAGGAGGCAACGCCCCCGGTGTCGCGGAAGCCCTCGGTGCAGGACACCAAGGAGCTCGAGCTCGGCGGCGGGCGGCCCCCCCGGTCCCCCCATCCCGGCCCTGACCGCGTCTAAGTAGGCGCCCAACATATTTGCCTCTACCGCGCAGTCAGCGCCCCCACAGGCGGGGGGGCGAAGAGAGCAGCACCGGGGGGACTGAACCAGCCCAATCAGGCCCTGTCTCTATGCACTCTCTGTTGGCCTGGGGGCCTGCGCTGTTGTGAAATGAGGAGGGGGGGCGCCTGACTGCCTAACTTTTGGAGGCTTCCTAAACGCTGACTGTTTTTTGTCACGTTGTACTGTTTTATATATATTGTGCTCAGCATGTACAAATGGTGGTTCCAGCAAGAAGTTTCCTTGGTCAGCAGCGGTCAGTGTTGACACACTTGGTGAAGTTGGGTTGTGTAGGGCTCGAACAAACTTTGAGCCGTAGAGTTAACAACGTTGTGCGGCCTATGTGCACACTCCGGAGTGTGCACACGAGTCTGTACAGTGCATGGAAGCAGAGTTGCCATTCTAGCTGCTCAAGAGTTATCCCTTCCGTGTTATTGCACAAACAACTGTAAATTTTGAGCAATCATGAGGTTGAAGCAATTGTCAGAGGTTGCCGCCCCAATCGAGGTACTGAGTTAGTGCTGACTACCGTTCGGTCCACGTGTACCGTTCTCCGTTCCGACAGCTGCAGGCAACTACGTCATGTCACCTCCTCAGATGCCCTCATGGCAAAAATGTCACCGCTGCCATTTTTTCCTGTCGTACATCATTGGAGACATTGGTTGGAGATGACGGCATCTCTCTCGCTTTTTTCTCCATCAGGTAAGGTCGCTTGGCTCCAACAAGTTTGGGAGGTCAAACGAGAAACATCAGTACCTCAATAGGTCATCAAGGCGAGAAGGGAAGGTGGCCGTGTCCTAAGAGAAGTGTTTAGCGCGAATTTCTAAGTGACGAATGACGAGGAGCTCGAGGAATGGGAATAGCAGATTCGTGCATCGCCGCATCGCCATTGAATCCCCATGTCGATTTCGCTTCAGGAGTCGTGCCTGTGGTGCCAGTATAGAAGCTGTTAAATAGCTAAAAGATCTTTTTAGGTGTAAAAGCCCCATGGCTGTATACTTCAGGATCCAAATTTGTCTTTCATGGGTGCTTGTGGTGAGGTTTGAGCAAGGTTTGGTTTGAGAGTGGGCACAAGGAGGCTCCCCACTTCCAAGTTGTCATGTTGCAGGGCCTTTTGACGTGGTCATTTGACGCTCAACTTGACTTGCCCTCTCAACAGGGCCATTATCCGGACGGTGAGCTCAAGTCCGCGGAGCAAGCCGGAACTTCCTGGACGATTCACGTCTGCAAGGCACTTTTGAGAAGGTGACGATTCGAAATGCCAGGACAGCTTATGTATAGTCCAGGAGCTTACGTATCGCATCGTGGTTGATGATCATGAAGGCGTACACGGCTTGTATTGCTGAAGTTAAAAATGAAGCTGACGATGTGCCCGGCTGAAGGAAAAGCGACATGCTCTTGGAATGAGATACTGCTTTTGATGCCCGTCTGGAATAGTGTAGTAGTTTTCCAAGATATGCTACGTTGTCCAGGTTCTAGGGAGCACTTTGGGGTTGTGTGGAAAGTCATCAGCTGATGTGTGATCGTTCCAACCTGAGGCAAGCGGGACCAGGAATGCGCCCTCTTGTGCTCTAGAGCCAGGGTGCAATGGCAGAGAGAGGAGCTCGCCAAAGGGCATTTCGCCAGCGGGAGAAGGTACGCTTCAGGCACTGTTGTTCCGTACTCACCTTCCATCCATCAAGGTGACTTGTGTGCAGGACCTCACTCATTTCCAATGAGTCGTCCTATATGTCAGTCGATTACACCTTTTCCAGCCACATAGGCTGAGTCGTCCATTGCTGCGTAGGAGAAAAAGGATGCAGTTGAACGCCATCTGGAGGAGTTGTCAGAGAAGGTGTCCCAACTCGAGCTCAAAAGACAGCAGCTGCAAGGAGCTCTGGGGAATGCCACCTGTGACAGCGAGGTGCAGTGTCTCATACTTGTCCTTGCAAACACAGCATGCGTCGAGTTGGTGATCTTCATGTGAACAACCTTCAGAAAACTGTACTACCTCCAGAATCTCCCTGCCCTTCCCATAGCTGTCATTACCTTGTCATGTTTCATCGCGTTTGCTGCACTGTAGTACATGGATTCCGAGTTGATGGCATCATAAGCAGCTTGCTGGTTGAAGCAAATGCTTTTGTGTTGTTTACAATTTTGCACCTGGACATGACTGGCCAAACTGGAAATGTCAGGTCAAAACTGTGAATGTGAAAGCTAAGGCAAGGCAACTTGGAAGAATGAGGCGCACTTGGAGGTTTGGCTCAAATTGAAAACAATATCATGTTATGTGTGGCCAGGGATTCAAGCAGGCCTGTGAACGGCAGTCACCGGAAATCGAGGAGGTTGCTATGAGCTTTCGATTCGGTGAATCAGCGGTGCAGCTGCAGCTGACCACAGGAGAAGCCGGAAGCCTCACAGACAGTGCTCTGGCAAACATCTGGCAGGTGCGCCCTCCTGAACAGCCGTTGTCTGCCCGGCGCTCCCATAGTAGCCGCTCTAGAGCAGCTACTATGAGATGA